TACCAGTTGATCCACGGACCGGTACCGGTCCGCGGCCCGGGGGTTGGGGACCACTGATCAACATGTCTCTTAGACCCCATCCTGAGCAGGATGCTCAAAGACGTTTTACCTGTTTTAATCATGGGAGATTTTCCTCCCCACTGTTGCCAAGTGCTTGCTCAGGGTGATTTGTTGGGTTCTTCCTCTGTAGTAATAATAATAATAATAATAACAATAACAATAATAAGGTCTACACTTTACTTTGCAAAGTGTCCTGAGATTACTTTTATTGTGATATGGCGCTATACAAATACAGCTGACTAGCCTACTATATCATCTTAGCCCATTTCCCACAGTGAATGTTTGGTTGTTTAACAAGCCAAAGTGTGACACAAGACACCTTGCCAAAAGACATTAATTAGAAATCTAATTTATTATTCCTCTACTAGTGCCACTAGCTGATAAAAAATTTATTTTGTCCAATTTGGGTTATGATCACACACATACAAAATGAATGATATGTCTACTTGCATCAGCTGTCCTTTGTGATTCATGCTAATTATTAAATGTTAGCATGCTAACACACCTATCTAAAATAGCAATATTTTGAAACATGACATGCTAAATAGTATGAGAATATAATTGTAAATATGATAGCATTTTGACATTAGCATTTAGCTGGGTGCCACTGACCAGCTTGCATTGCTGTTATTATCTATATGCTGTAAAAGAAAAAGTACAATGTAATTCACTTTAAGTTTAAAAGGAGAGTGTGTCCTGCTCTTCTGTATATGAGCATATGCTTAGACTAATGGGTATTGCACAGAAAAATGTTAGTATAGTTTTAAAATAGCTACACATTTAAGAGAAAAAACAATTCTATCTTCCTTTATTCTGCTTAAATCTTCCATGTCAGCAACACTAACCAAGTCAGCAAGTGAAAAACAGTTCAATATACTTGGTCAAGAGCAATACTATCACATCAGCTGATGAAAAACTAAATACGTCCAGTGTCATCATAATAAACGAGCGTGCTGTCTGTGTGAAGAGAATCGTACTGACTTGATGCATGTGTAATCCGGTGCCAACCTGTGCAAGAAACAGGCTTGGGGAGTTTGATTTTTACAATGGAGGAAAACTGCTAGTCTTAAGCGCTACTCTGAGGTTTCCTGTTTTGATTAGGAGAGTGTGGGAAGCTCTGTGGGGATGGGAAATGCTGATAACAACTTAGTGTAAACACATGAAGATGGAGGCCTTTTTAACTATTGTAACCCAGTGTGTGATAGATTTTACCTCAGTGGTCTAAAGAAAAAGCTAAATTTAAAGGTCCTCTGAGGTGTGGTGCACATTCCATATCCTTTAAAGAATCATTTGTGTATATCAGTGACAATGTGTCATTAGTCACAGCTGCAGCTAGATTTTGAGACTACTTCACATATCCTCCTGCATTTGACTACAGCTGCACTTGTGTGTGCAATGTTTTGCTTGGAAAAAACAGCCAAAAAGAAAAAGACTCAGAATGTGGGCACAACCCTGTTTGACTCAAAGCAGACAGTGAAGTCTGTCAACCTTTTCTCGTTGTCCACTCTGCCATAGTACAAATTGGATGAGACGTCAAACACTCTTGCTCACTCCACAAGTCCACCACTTTCTCCTCCAACAAAACCATGCCTTCCAAGACACAAAGTCATTGGAGTCTCTGTCATATTTACCATTGTTTCTGTGCCTACTATGCTTTGTTTAAAGTAATTCTTTATTTTCTACTGCATCTTGTGATGACATACAAATTTCGCAGCTCACCTTGTAGATGCCATTCCTTCCATATCCTGGTAAAGATGCAGACTTACTGTAAGGGAAATCTGCAAAGAAGAAGAGTGCCTCATGTTCAATATGGTTTGATTCATATTGCTCACACCAGGCCCAGCTTGTATTTAGCTACTCACTAGGCTGAGAGGTATCAGTGGGGAGACTGCAAGTGGACTTGCAGGGGTCAAGGTCTTCTGGACCCATCTGTCCGTCCATCTCACTCTTCAAGATTGTCCAGCTGGTCCTCTACAGAGAGAGAGGAAGACAGACAGAAAGAAGGGATGGCAAAGAATGAGTTATTGCATTAGTAAATGGATTGACAGTATTTGTAAGAAAATGACAAAACAAGACAGATATTGACAGACACAAAAAGATACACACATACGCACTGACCCACCTTGCTATCTTCCCCATCCTGCCAAGATGTTCTAGATGCTGTAAAACAATCACATGTTACAGGATGTCACAGTTAATGCACTGGATCATTTGCCTCTCAGCTATACTGTACTGCAAAGTTAACTCTACTGTAAATCACCTATGGAGCATGACATTATCAGCTGCACACAGCATTTACAGGGAACTCCTCATACACTGTGCAAGCAACCAGTAAGACAATGTGATAGCAATGGCTAACATTTTCTTTTTTTTTTTATCAACAATGGATTTACAGGGCAACGCTTTACATTCTGGGAATTTGAGCCATTGGCCACTAGAGAAGAATATCTCATCAACTGCTCTATGGTCTCTAGAGGGTAAATCCCTACGTTTGTGTGACCTCCTGTTTTTTTTTTTGTTTGTTTTTTTTTTTACCGTAGTGCCACCATCAGCCTAACATTTCCACTTGTTCTCACGCTATGCAAAACAAATTGGTATCATTGCTATGTTTCTGACTGAATACATCCATGTTTCTGTTACTACAAGACCTAGTAGTTGTCATGGGAAAAAAAATAATAATTTGGTTCAAATATTAATGCAATTATAAACTCATGTGCACAAATTACATATTCAAAGTGTCTGTGCAGATTCTCAGTCATCCAGGTCATACAAGACCTAGTAGTTGTCATGGAGAAAAAAAAAATTTTTGGTTCGAATATTAATGCAATTATAAACTCATGTGCACAAATTACATATTCAAAGTGTCTGTGCAGATTCTCAGTCATCCAGGTCATAGTAAGCTGAATAAACAAGTCAACGCCAGTCGGGCAGAACTGATGAAGCCTCTTGGATGAGAGGTAAAACATCTTCGACCTAAAACCAAGTCCAGTTGATTTTTAATTTTTTTTTTTCACGTTTTTTCAGCTTACATATTCAAAGATACAAGATTTTAAAATGGGCAAAACCCAAACTATTTGTGGTACTCTGTCCAAAATCAAAACAAAAGTCCCTGAAACCCAAGCTTGCAGCTAAGCTCAATGTGAATTTTCTTGATAGTAAAAACTGAAGTTTTGGGCAGTTAGCGAGAAATGTTAGCAGCAAGTTAGCAGTGCACGTCAGTATTTGTGTGCCTGAAATCACAAAATGTTTGGTTACTGCATTCATGACATTTGACCTTTTTGCCTTAACACTCACCTTTGCACAGTAGTGATGTTACATGGGATGCTGGTTTAACAATAATGGATCACGATCAGGCTACACCATAGTACAACAGAAAATAAACTGTGTTTTTGACTTGTCAGACCAGAGATCTTTTTATATATGAAGATGAGGCTCTTGTAATGAAAACAGTTTTGTTAGTGATATATGTAGTTACTTTAAACTTAGTGTGCTAGCATGCCAAATAGAATTGTGTTGCCTTTCACATACCTTCAACATACCATATGTTAAAATGTCAGCTAATATTTATCCTTCAGTGAATTTGTGTGCATGAATTAATAATATGAGTACAAAAGTAGTAAGTTGAACAGCATGAATTAGTCATTTGTGCACACAAATTACCAATTGCATTATTTTTCATTTTGGACATTAAAATACTGCACCCTAAAACATTAGCACGCACGCTGGACTAGTATCCAGATAGTTTTGGAGACAACCTTGTTATTGTGCATCAGACAACATGACTACTGGGTCAAATTCCCATGAGGCAAGTGTAGCTTATTATAAAGTTCTGTCACATTGCACAGCTCCAAGGTTAAATCACTGATGAGAAATCTTTACTTAAAAGGAGATGTGGATTCACTTTTCGTTTTCTTGCCAGATGCCTCGTCAGTGAGCTCACGTCTGCCTGAATGCATACACTCAATATGCTAACAGCCAGCTCATTAATCTACAGGACTATGCTATATGCAGCTGATTTGCTCGTCATATTTGATAAATATAAATTCTTCCTTGTGTGATAAAGGTGATAAGAGCTCCTTGGTCTCTTAAGTCAATGTCTTTTGAGTGACGCTATTATGTGCACATATTTTGTATCTTGGGGGAAAACTACAGTGAAAACTACACCAAAATTTAAAATACACAAACACTAGTTAAAGGAGAGACACAGTGATTGAAGCAGTGGTACAACACTAATGTCACCAAACAAAGTTATTCATGTACCCAGGCATTCACAGTGTATACACATGATCACAGCATCACCACCAAAACCAACAAATGAGCTGGTGAGATGAATGCAGACATGCAAGAATGAGGTGAGAAACTTAACACCCGATGGCCCAGTCCCAATCAGATTCAATACCAAATAATTGAGATTACTAGAGTTTTGCAGAGTCAAATCAAACATTGAAATTTAGGGCAATACTTATATTATTGGCGAAACCCAATAATGCAGACTTTGTTGTCAGACATTAAGTCAGTTAAGAGACAGTGGTAGTAACATGATGTTACCTCTAGACCTCGATCTAAGAGCTTTCTAGTGAAAGTATCTACAACTGATGCTGTACTGCCCTCTAGAGCTTGAACATTTCAATTCTGTTAAACGTTTGGCTACATGCTGATCAAAATATCACAAATGATGTTTGAATATTTCAACCTGTAGACAGCAGTAAAGCAGTAGTTGTCGATGTTGAGTAGTTTTAGCCTTTAAAGCAACAGTAGGACTCATCTTATGGCATGAAATGAAATATTATGCAACTTAAGAACTTAAAGGTTACCATTCACAGTCTGTGTACAGTTCATGCTGAAATATACTGAAGGACTCAATGTATTAGCTTGTATCTTGCTTAGTTCATATCCATAGTTGCTGCTTGTGAGATTATCTAGTTGGGAAATTCCCCTCAAGTCTGGTTTCAGAAAGGTGAAAGGAGGTTTCATGATGCATTCTTTGATGATCCAGCAGCACTTGGTTTGAAGCAAACTGATGCCTTTGGGCAAATGAAATACATTAAAGTTAAAGAGGCGAACATTAAACTGCTGGACTGTTATGCAATGGAAACTGTAGTCTCCATCATTAAAGTTAAATGCGCTACTAGCCAAACCTCCACACACTTACTTTCTACATTAACGACACAGAACTTGCATCGCCACTGTAAATTGTGAACACTGGATTGTCTGTTATTCCAAGGGATGCTGGACTGATTGTGTACACTAAGATAGACCCTTAAATTTGTTTAGCACACTGCCAAATTTGGCCCAAATGGACTTTTAATATCAACAGTAGTGGAGCGTGTATTATCTGAGCTTATTAGGAACATCTCTCAGAGCAGGGTCATAGGTTCCATCATAGATTTCTTATTCCAAAATATTCATTTAAATTTCAATATTTTTTCAGTTCATTTAGTCATAACATTGCCCACCATTCAAATGGTCAACCTTGATAGATTCAGCACTTGTCTATTGATTTGATACATAAAACAGGTGCCATATTCTTACACCAGCGCTATGCACGTAGATCCATGGAGCCTACTAGACAGGTGCAGGCCTCAGAGAATGGGGATGACAACTGGGGTAAATGGATGATGAGATGACTGACAGGTGACGTGCAACAAATCGTGCAGAGAACAGACCAGAGAAGGAGGCGTTAAAGAAGTGGACTGTACCATGCTGTTTGTAGATGGGGGGTTTTCTATAGATATTATCTTTGACCATATTCTCTGAAGATGGGAACAGGTGCAGAGGAAAGGAAAATGAAGAAGCCAACATGGGGAGAAGAGAGAGAATGGAGAAAAAGAAGCATGGGTTAGCAGTTAGAGGGATGAGATACCGTATTTTGAACAAGCAAAAGGGAGCGCTGTATAGCTCGATTCAACACATTTGTCATTTTATTATTGCACATCAGAAACATCAATTTAAAAAATATTCATGCAATGTATTCAAAACATTTCAGTGTTTTGTTTTTCATCAAAGGAGGCTATTTGATGAAGATCAGTTCAATGACACTCAAAGAATATCAGAAACCCCACACAGTCCCAAGGCACCAAACTGTCTATTTGTATTAGAAGTCTTTAAGAAATTTCCAATTAACCTGCTCAAAAAAGGCACAACAGAGAAAAGCTGAATGTTAGCTGAGGTGCCTCTGGAGGATGGCTTTCCTAAGTTTGATCAAGTCCATCTTAGGGTCAGTGGACCAAGACAGGCCTCTGATAGAGATGCTTGGTAACAACGGGCAAACATCAAGCCGCAGCAGAAGCATGACTCACAATAAAACAACATGTGGGTCTTTTTTTTTGGATTGTTTCAGTGCCTTCCAGCATCTGAAACAATATCCATATAAAAGCTGACTATGAAAGACATTAAGCGGAAAATTGTTGGCGGTTTTTTCCACTTAATTTGTTTCCAACATGGGAGGGATTTTTCCCCCTCTGCATGACTGACACTGCAGTTGTCAATGGGAACAATATGTTGGATCAAATAGATTTTCCTCTGTGAGAGACGGAAAGTACTGATGGTTACACTGTTTAATGTCAAGTCCTGTAAACGTACAGAAAATTAAATTATTTAAGTGACGCAATTTAATGTTAGCTCATTGCTGTGTCAGAGGAATTAGCAAGCAGTAGGGACACTGGGAATAAGAATCCTTGAGAAATACACAATACAATCCAAACACTGCAAATTTGGTACAGTAAACTATATAATAAAGACACTGGGCCTGATGCAAGAACCACTCTTACAAATAGTTTTAATCTGATATAAATGAATGATGTAAGAGAACTCGTGGTATTCACAGATTTTCTTGTACTTGTGTATATGAACTGATTCACAGTAATAGAATAGAAGTTGTATACTGTACAATATAGAAAGTGTGCCTTCTCCAATTATGACTTTTTGTGTAAGGTACATCACAAATAAATGGCATCAAAATATGAAAAATGTGCTGATAAAAGTATTTAGTTATCTAAATCACAGCAGTACAAATTTAAGTCAAACTTGCAAATTTGATTCCCCTTGTTATTTCAGTAGGATTTGTACCAGGAGGACAAGCCGATGGTGAGTATGGTTCAGTCACACAGCATTCTCTGTACACAAACTTAGGGAAAATGAAAAATGTTTTTACCCAAGCTGTGCCAATGATTTCACAGATGTCTATTATCTGTCCAAACTTTGTTCAGAACAAAACCATGATCTCCTCATGAACCAGAGGTAAAAAAAAAAAAAAAAAGATTTTTTACTATTGCCCTAGAGTAAGAAAGCTGTGTGACCAAATCGTGGAGTGCTGGAGTCACAAATGGGGCTATGAGCGCTGCAGCCTTGGCCTGATTTGATGATTCAAATCTACAGTCCAAAAATCCACAGAGACCAAAGCTGTGGCATACTAATCCTGTAATAAGTTAAACTACTTGATATCAGATAAATTTGTTCTTCAAGTCTCTCTTTGGTATGGCTCAGCTGTAGTTTTATCAGTTATGACGGTTTGCTGAATATGATTTGGAACCCTCAAACAAACAAACCTCCCACTTGTTTCCACAAAGTGAAGGATTAAAAAAATTTTTTAAAAACATTCTTGCATGTGGCCCAGTTCAAACAAACAAACCTCCCACTTTTTTCCACAAAGTGAAGGATTAAAAAAAAATTTAAAAACATTCTTGCATGTGGCCCAGTGTAATCAGCTTGGTATTCAATATCCCACATGTATATTGCAGCTTCACTAGACTAGTTTAAGTGAAGTTAATGGTACACCTAGCAGTACCATTTGGTGGATACGAAGTACAACTTAAAACATTCAACCACAGGATGACAGTTAAAACAATGCTCTAGGTATTAGCTGGTTAGCCTTGGTATCAAATCATTATATAACATTCCATTTCTGCAGGACATTCTCATAGTCAGCTTACTAGTAACAGAACCAATATTTCTTGCTATTTGTTATGTAATTTGTCAGCTTATCCTGTAATTCACCTCTGTGTCACTAATGGCAGCATAGAAGGCAGGAAAAACTAAAAGTTGTGAGCCAAGCGGTGCAGATATGGCCTACCTGGTATGTGGAAATGCCGGGGAGCGGCCACATATGTAGAAGTAGATGAGGGGGATTTGCCATCAGAATAGGTAGATAAGCTGGGGGTACTCCGACCACTTTCACTACCTCCATTGGTGACGGAGGTGGGTGGGAATTGGATATGGAAGGCAAAAGGGAAAGGGTTTGGAAGAAAACAAAGGGCAATGGGGGCAAAAAGGCAGCATTATGGTAAGCATATTGATAAAGCTGTAATTATTACAGTGATGCAGGTGACTAGATGACCCAGCCATTTACTGTGTTTATATTTACTGTATTGAAACAAGTACACAAACAAGTTGTCTTGAACAAATTCACAAAAATTTGGGTAATGAATCCCACTAGTCTGAACTGTTATGTAATGAGACAAAAATCATCCTGTAAATTTTGATTGCTACCGCTTTAGCATAGCTAATATGGCACTGTGTTGTCCCTCAGCCCAAATCTCCTTTTTCCTAGTAACACCATTCAGAATCTGGTCTGGAACATGTGGACCACCTCTGCAGGAAGGCGTCTATGTGACATGCACCAACAAATTCCTGGGTCTCCTCTCTTTGTTATGCAGTAGGACCTTAAAAGCTAAGTCACTTAATACAGAGTGAGACCACCCATCCTTCACAGAAGGCCATCTGCAAATCCAATTTTAGTCTTTTTGCCAAAAGCTTATGACTCTAGGTGAAGTTAGAAATGATGCCCGTTGAGTATATTGATATCCTTCTGTTAAAACAAAGCTCTTTTTCACAACCCCAGTCAAAGACATTATGGTACAAGTTGCTTTCCGCTGCACTGAAGCTGTTAATGCATGGAAACTCCTGAAACCGAGCCAGTCTTCACACCTATACACATTCCAAATATGTTTGAAAACAGCTTTTGGAGAAAAGCTGCTATTGTTCCAAACAGCTTTACAAATTAATGTAACTTTTTTTATAAAACAAAATCTTGTGCCCAAGGAATTTTTATCTGCACTAGAAAATAACATTTTTGATACATTTCAGTCTGAAGATTTACTGAGACTGCGCTGCTTAAGGTTGTGCCATCATGGCTTTAATCAGCTCAGAAATATTTCAAGACATACGATTTTACCTGCTTTCATCTCATCATGCCTGGATTACTGCAACAGCCTATTCACCTGCCTGAGCCAAAACCCCATTCATCGACTCCAGTCTGTCCAGAACTCAGCTGCTAAGCTTTTATCCAGAACTAGGAGATATGATCACATCACTGCTGTTTTAGCTTCTCTGCACTGGCTCCCTGTATGTTTTAGAATTGATTTTAATATTTTATAAATTACTTTTAAGTTCTTGCATTGCCTCTCCCCAAGTGATATCTCTGACCTTTTACTACAGTGCACGCAGCTGTGCGTGGTTGTGATCCTTGGACAAAGGTCTTTTATCTGTTCCAAGGGCTCACTTGAAAACTATAGGGCATTTGTAGTCATAGAAATCAGGTCAACTACATCAGTGACAGCTTTTAAATCCTCTCTTAAAACAGACTTTTATCAAAGAGCCTTTCCTGATTGTAATTTTCTATTAAACAGAAATTTGCTGCCTTGTAATGTAGATTTTGAAACGCGCTGCCTAAATAAAAATTATTATGCAACAGCTACTTCTGAATTAGCTTTAGAGACAAATACTAGGTTCTTGCAAATGTGGCAGCACTGAACCTGTTAATGTTAGCACCAGCACAAGAGCAATGATTCACCTGAAAGGGGTCTGCAGGGATGAGCTGAGAAACTTTGTTCTCATCACTTAACAGTTAACACAAAAATCACAAAAAAGTATGAATTGGTACGTTTTGAAATGTCACTGTACTGTAGGTGCAAAAATAATGGTAGTGATGGTAATTGTATTTGTTGCCCAATGGTTATACTATGGTTTCCCAATTTGTCTGAGCATGTAACATACATGAACATTTTGCTCAGTGCTTGCATGTGAGTGTTGTGTATCTCTGCTCATAACCAAGGTCCACACTATTGTGTTACACCATTAGCAAGCTGGGTGATGGAGTCACTGACACCCTTGAAGCCAAAAGTAATAAACACTCTACATCTAGACCTTTGAGGAAGAAACAGAGAGACAGACTGAGAGAGTGTTCGCTGATTGAACACACACTCTTCTCCCCTCAGAATAAAAAAAAAAAGAGCAGCAGCAATCTGGATGCAAGTGGATGAGATCACTGACACACAGCAGTGGTGTTAATGATGGTCGGTGATCTTCTTCACATACACACATGCCTGTAAATACACACACTAGAGTTCTGTTAATGCAGGGCTAAATGTGGGGTACATCCTCCATGAAAACATCTGGATTTAAGATAGGAGGCTAGGGGCATTTGCAAACATAGTCCAGGGAGGTGATGTATTATAATTTACCTGAAGGTGGAAGCCATTCATTAACCGGAGACCGATAACACAACAACAGGATATAAAAAAAACTGCTTTCTGTAGCAATAGCAATGAATCAGAGGGATAAAAAGAAAAGCATGCATTGTTCCTCCTTCAGTCTTCATCATTAGACAACACATTTGAATAGCTTATGTGTTAAGTGTCACTTAAATCTTATTACCACAGTTTTTTCAGCTAGTGAACCTCATACTGTACTTCATTAAAACATACATTAAGAACCACAGTGGCCTGAACAAGGTCAGCGGCACACTGTGGCTCATGGCTCTGCAACTGGCAACCAAACCAAACTATAGCTCAGCTGTTTCATTCCTCCATTCCCCCTCCTCTCATTCTTCTTCACCATCAAAGAACTCTGATCTCAGTCTCTCCATCCTGCCATGGAAAAACTGCCAAACCCCTTGACTGTATGTTCGTGATTTTCTATGCAAAATGTTAAAGTGGAAGCTCATGCTGCTTCCCTCTGTGTCTCCTCCTGTTAATCAACAAAGGTCCAAACATGCATATGTTAAACACTTTTGCCAAAGGTTTCTGTATAATATAAAAATAGCATCCCTTTGCAGTCAAAGGCTTTTTGTAAGTGAAAATGCTGTATGGCCCTGTAGAAACATTTATATCAGGGGTGTGACTTTTTAAATGAACTTTGTACAAACATGGTCCAACCATCTATTATCTATACTGCTTATCCTGAGGGTTACCAGTCTATCACAGGGCTGACACATATGAGACAGACAACCACTCACACCAAGGTACAATTCAAAGTTGCCAATCAACCTAACCTGTATGTCTTTGGACTGTGGGAAGAAGTCGGAGTACCTGAAGAAAACCCACACAGACATAGGGAGAACACGCAAACTCCAAACAAAAAGGCCCCAGCTGGCCATGAGCTTCAAGCCCAGAACTTTCTTGCTATGAGGTGACATTGCTAACTGCACCACTCCCAAGCAGCAACCTGCAACGCTGACAAATGAAGCCAATGCAGAAGCATTAAAACCTGCATTTCCTTGAATGGCCACCTGAGGCTGGCTCCAAAAGGGAGTTCATCTCCTAAGACTCCCATGTTAAAATGCTCAACTTTACAGCAGAAATAAACATGTTTATAGCCTTATACAAATAATGGTTTTTGGTCTCTATAGCCAATTTTCGCTTCCATGAAAAATGTACAGAGCCTGAATTTTTATATAACTTGACAATTTAAATTATATTGAGGCTAAAAATGATGCATAATTAAGGGCGTGGCTGCTCTGAGTGACAGGCAAGACAATTGGCTAGCCACTAGCTATTTAGCCACTAGCTGTTTAGCGAGCTCCAATCACACCCCACTTCTTTGCCTGTTTTTGGTTTAGCCAGAGTTAGGTACTACCAAGATGCCAATGGCCAACCTTGAGCTTCAAAACTGTTCTTCAATGGCTAGCCCTCAAGCATAATTTTTTTTTATATATTTGATTAACATCCCTCTACTCTAGGTACTGCACTTCATATTACAGACAGCTATGACACAGAACTTTTGCTTTTCTTCTTTTGTACTCAGCAAAGTAACTGCTGAGATCTCAGTGTTGATCCCAGCATTGCTAATAATCCCTTATTTTACTGGAAAGCTATAAAATTTAGGCAAGTACAGTACAGCAGGTCAACTTTGAACCATAAAGTCAGACTAAATATTTAGAATAGGTACCTCTGGTAATAATCTTTCAGTTTGTCTCTGTTTTTCCTTCCAAACAGAAATTTAACTAACCTGTATGATTGCCTTGGGTTCACCACCCCACTGGAGCTGATTTTAGCAATATCGCCATATTCTGAGATCTCAGCAGTTAATTTAGTGAATATAGTATTATTGACCAATGGAAATAAAACCCATGTTGTAATGAACTGTGTCTATCCTTTAAATTGTCCTTGTCTCCTTGACCAGCATTTATAACATTTCAATATTCATCAGTGCTTTGTGTCAGAGGAGCTGCATTTACCGATAACATAATTTCTTGTGTTTCTATCAATAACAATAGGCTTGATTCTTCACACCGTCTGCAAATGTCAATGTGCATTTTATCAGTCATCAAAACACAAATCCTGCACTCTCTTCCAGATTTACATCATGGACAAAAACAAGTATTAAGGGGATAAAGCCTGACACATGGTGATGAACAAGGGGTCATTCAGGAAAAACAACAGGGTAAATCAGAGTTCAAAGGCAGGCAAACAATAAGATCAACAATCTGAACAGACAAGCACAAAACTGAAGTCACCTTTAACCTAGCTTCCTCTAAAAGATAACGCCAAAGGTATCAAGGTTACACTCAGGTCTACATCAAGTTAACCATGCACATCAACCACATCCACAGACACAAGTGAACAGTGCAAGCAGAATGAGTAAACTGAGTGGTCCTACAAATGTACCTTGATGCACCCCAGGAAACCCAACAACAACAATACTGTACAACATCACAAAACCTGCTAAACATTCCACTAAGGAGGGGGAGACACAAAGAAGAGAAAGACTGCTGGTGTTTTTACCGTCAGGAGGAGGTAAACTGAGATGCAGGGATGTCCTAGGTTTAGGGTCAGGTAGGGGGTCCTGTTTGAACCCTGGGGTTGAGGGAGATCAGGGGATGGGGAGAAGATGAAGGAAAGGGAGGCGGTTGGATAAGCTTTCCTGCAGGGGTTACAGCGTGCAAGAGGAATGTGTACATTACTGGTTTGTGATGTTGATTTCAGGGACATGTGGCATCATGAACAGCCTTAGCAGTTTCATGGCTTTAGTTCAAGAATTAAAGAAAACTGTGGTTACAGACGCAAACGAAGCACACACCAGTCAAAGGTTCTGTTTCCCATTATAACTCACTGGTCTATGATGAACCAAGAGATCTAAAGACCCAACACATGGTTAATTTGGTGCTTATCTACAACTCATGCCAAGTGACGTCAGTTCAGTGGTAGCATCACAGCACTCCATTTTTTAGGACCTTTTATCTCAGTCAAATACAGAGAGGACTGGCACCTTGCTGCTGTGGGGAAACTAGTTTTTTAAAAAGTCTCAGGTTTTTGTTTATTAAACCAAGGACTGCAACACTCATTCTAGTCTCATCTGATCTGACAGCAGCAATTATTCCAGCAACTCATCCATTGTCTGTATTGGACCAGGTATTGGTCTCATCGTGCTCTGGTACCTCTGAAGTAAGGGATGTAGTTGTGCTGCTGCAGCATGGCCAGGGTAGTGGGGTTTAGGTGTAAAGACAAGCCTGTGCTGCCACCTGCTGGTGTGGGCGAGGACTTGCCACCACCACCACCACTCGCTTCAGCACGACCAGGACAGTACACAGGAAAGGAGGATGAGTCTCTGGCCCAGGTGGAGGGGTATTTAATGCCACCCATAAGGGCTGGGGGCAAATGAGAACTGGAGTCATGGGTCTGGCTGTGTTTACCGCCAAGGTATACATCTGACCCTGAGTGTTCAATCAGATTACAAGAACACACTGAATCACTGGATATAATTTTGAACATATAAAGTTTCTTTATCATCTTTGGGGTAAGTGGATAAAGGAGATGATGTATGATTACAGCACTTACATTACAGGGTGTCAAAAAATTATTACATACCACTTACAAATGCAAACTAGCAAGGGAGTAAAGTATTACCACCTAGACCAAACATTAGATAACAAGCCCTTTAAATGACTGAATATTTCGCCAACAGAATTATATTCTTGCCACAAGGGCTTTAAAATAAAACTAAAAGAGAAATAAAGTTTATAGACAATAATGAATCTCTATATGAAAGGTCAAACAAATAACTGAGAAGGAAGTCAGAGTGGGGTATTTGGACTCATGACATGACATGGCATTAAAAATGCCTAGAGTGAAACCAAACAGACCTTAAAAATCTGCAGCAGATTAATATTTAATACTTAAACAGACTGTGGGCTGTGTGTGTGTGCAGCTGATACCTGGCCGACTGTAATTCTGAGGGGAACGGGACGGGGTGTAACGTCCGTAGCCACCCAGGGAGCTGTTGGAGCTGGGGCTGGAAGGCCTCCTCTGACGTGGTGACTTCTCCCCATCACCCTGGGTGCACAAACACACAAATTAAAAGACAAAAAGAGTGCATGCTGGAGAGAAATATTTACTAGGTCTTTAATCACAACATCAGACAGGAATGTGGGCAAAACCCACAGATGTATGATCAAAACATATTGCACAAGGCAGAGAACTGAGGAAAATATAACTTCAAGATACTGTAACACAGGTTAGGTTGATTCAAAACATATCAAAGCATAATTAAGGCAATTTGTTTATCAGTATACAACATTAAAAAAATAATGGTATAAAGTTTTATTACTATACTTGGGAATTCAAAGGATATTAATTTGAATATTAACATCTTTAAAAAATTCTGGTGTTTAGCCATTCAGAAAATGTTGGTTTTATTTGTCCAGGCAATGAGATACAGGCTATCACAGGGCTGATACTTGACAGCTTGACAGCCAGCCACACTCACTCCTAAGGGCAATTTAGAGCCACCAATAAAATTAAACTGTATATCTTTGGACTGCGAGAAGAAGCCAGAGCATCTGGAAAGTACCCACGTGGGCACAGGGAGAGCATGTAAACTCCACAAAGAAAGGCATCTGGGCTCGAACCTGGAACCTTCTTGCAGTGAGGTGACAGCACTAACCACCATGCAGACCCTTGAATATTTGCCAACATATGTGTGAGAAAATCAGTGAAATGTTTAAAAAAATGTTCCTCAAAGAAAGATAGGAAGGGATTTGAATACATCACCCTCTACGGTGTAGAACATCATTAAAAGATTCAAAGAATCTGGAGGGATTTCAGCACGTAAAGGGCACAGTCCTAAGCTGGATGACCGTGCTCTCCGATCCCTCAGACAACACTGCATCAAGAATCGTCACTCTTTTAGAAGCGATATAACCACATGCGCATCAGAACCTGAGTATGTCTTCTGTTGAGCTGTGACATTTGGCCTGCAAATGTCTAGGGCGTACTGTCACACCAGATCCAAGTTGTAATCAGGATGATATTTTAAGCATACATATCAGCTGCTGTAATCAAAACAGCAACATCTGTACTGACAATAAAACACTTAAAACTCTCAGTTCCTCTAAAATAGATTTCCCCAAATATAGTAATACAACTCCTTTGTGCCTGCACATACACAAACACACACTCAGGAAAGCACAGATGAAGGGTTTGTGACATCCACAGTGAAACATAGTGCATTATATTACCTCAGTAGGAGTAGAAGAAAGCAGCTGGGGGGACTGCAAATTAAAGAGGGGAAGAAAGCCAATGATTAAGATGAACTCATATGTGAGGATTTATGAGTTAACCATCCAACAGTGTCAGCAAACAGTGATGTCCGCTGTGAGGACATGCCTGATGGATGGATGAGATAAGTGAAGCGGGTCCAAAGTGTTTCATTTACATGCTCAGGGCTGTGAGACTGCGACTGCACTGCAAAGGAATGAATGTGTTTGCATGAGAGACAAGAATGGTTGTTACTGACTTCACTGTCAGACTGAGGGATGGATAGCAAGATGAAACACCACAAAAAATGTCAAGGAAGAGGCTACAAACAGAAGTGCGTTCTTGGAACCTCAAACATTAACAACATTCACTGAAATTAATTCACCTTTTTGTTCATTAAATCACTTGGAAAAAAGCAGACATTTTACTTCTGGCAGTTTACTTCTTAGCTTTATCCCATTTAAAGTTATTCACTGGCTTGTACTGTTTAATGTCAATAAAACCTAGAAAAATGAGGCCGTTCTGACATTTATAACAGGCATTTCTTCGCTCTGAAAGCAGAAACACATCCACAAACCAAATCTGATTCTTCACCAGGCTCATTTCCTCAAATATTCAAATTCTATATATTCTATTCTAAATATGACTAAAATCAGACCGTTTATCTCATTTTAGCTCATTAGCTTAAGTGACAAAAATTGCTGCATGTAAATGCCAAACAATGTCTCTGTTTACTTTTCAATTGTTATGAAAATATCTGCTTATGTGTTTATGTAAATATGAATATAACTCAAAATTATCAATATTAGTGTTAGTCTCAAAAACCCAGTATTTGATTTGAATCCCTTAGAATCTGCTTACCTTTTGAAGGAGAAGACCATTACAAAGGCTACTGTTACTGTTAAACTGTTACTAATGGATTAATTGATGATAAAGTAATTAGTAGGGTATTTACTAATACTTTATTGATCTGTTATAGTCCATTAATTAAAAAAACTGTTGGGTTGCCAGGTTTTATTTTATTTATTTAGCTGAACTTTGTATATTAATAAAGTTATAAGTAGGTTAAGTACAGCATATGCATTTAATAATTAGGTAGTGGTTAAAGGCATTTTGGTATGGATGCTCTGCAGCTCCTTTCTAGAAGCTATGTGGATGAAGTATCATACTAGATCACATTAAATAATGTACCAATCAGAGAGAGGTTTTACAACCTGGCTACCCAGAAGTTGTTTTTGTTTTAAAATTAGTCTGTGAGGCATTAGAAAATAATTTATTATGTAATAATGGCCATAGTTACATATTAAAAACCTGTTTATGCTACCACTTAATTCAAAAAAATCTTAATTTGAAGTGTAAATGCTTCAGTTTTCCGATGAACGTAGTGGAGTATGCAGTACAAAATCTGACTGTGAAATCTGGAGTACAAGCAGTGTTCTTACTATAAGTGCAGTACTTGAGTAAATCAGCAAATTTCCACCACAGGATTAGAGAGAAGTAAAGTTACAAAGGAGAAGAGAAAATCAAAGCTTTGAGAGACTTGTTTACCTCTCCATAGTGCCTCTCCTCTGACGGATAGCTGATGTAGGGAGAGTAGGACAGCATGTCAGGCCTGTCTATGTTATAGATGGCCTTGGTCTTTGGAAGGGCTGCTAGGTCCTTGTAGTCCAGCATCTCCTCCCCTAGTTTGGCCTGGCAGCAGAGAAAAGAAAATATCTGTAAATACATGAAACAGGCTAGAGTAGATGGTGTGCAGCTGCTGTCCCCTGCTGTTGTGTGGTGGTGGTGCAGTCTTACATAAATGACTCTACTGGGAGAGCCCGAGGCACTGGATGCTGGGGCTGAAGTGATGCTCTCAGATGAAGTCCGGGTCACCTGAAACACAGACACACACAGTTGTGTTTAAATAGACTGAACGCATGCAGGTTAATGGAGGTAACAGAGATATATTAGTTATTTTTATTGTTTGCCCATTTAAACCCATGATTTGCGTAAACAGAAATTCAGTTGCAATTTTCAATCACATGAACCTGTCTTCTGGAAAGAAGCACATGTAAAATTGCCTGTTAACAATATAGCAATTCCTACAGTGAGAGCACAATAGGTTAGTTCCCATTCTATTACTGCTAACTAATGATTAGCAGGTTGTATAGACTATGACGTTGTTAAAATGATTTCTTCCCCCTTGTCCTACAGCCCATAGCATTAGTTATCAGAAATTAGCAACTTGTCTATTTCTAACAAACATTTGGAGAGACCCATTGTGTTGTTAAGCTCATCTTCCACTCAGACATTGGAAACTAGTTAGCCTAGCCTGCTAACATAATTAACTTTTTGACATTGCAGAAAATTTTACTTCATGTTCTTTGATAACTTCCATATTTTCTGGTCATTGTTAATATATTTTGTTCTCCACATGCATTACAACAGCACTTACATCATACACACACATACAGTAGCTGTCAGTGCAGTGGCTTTATTAGTGAAGCTAATATCAGTTATGGACACACACTGAAGAGAGTAGGTGAACCTTCTCTATCAGAACATATTAAATATTTGACACATAAGAACAAAGGTTATGATTATAGTTTGGTCTTTATCTTCTTGCATAATTATCTTTAAACAAGTCTTATCCATTCTGTGTTACCCTCTAAAGATACAGATGATGTATCCAACTGATGCACTTACTGAGATTTATCCCCTTGTACATGCACAGACTGATAATCAGCATCATCAGTCACTGAACAATCAAATCTCTCTGCATCATATATCAAATCACAAGAAACTGGACTGCAGCACTGTGTGGCTTTACAGTATGTGATGGGGCTGTTTGATGCTTGATATGAAGCAAATATAGCAGTAAGGTGTCAACAAGTAAGATCAGCCCATGCTGCAGATGGCTGTGTGGGAGTTTAGGTGGGCGTACAGGGGCACCAACCTGCTGCTCAGGGACATCAGTGAGCTGTATCCGGACCTGCTTCTGGGAAGGAAAAGGGCTATGATAAGGAATGAGGATGAGAGATGGAGGACATACTGGATGTGAGGCTGCAGAGCTGCTAATGCAATGGTAAAACAATAGTATTTAATCCTGAACTGTCAACTAAACTCCTCCTCCTCTGTGTTGGTCAGCTGTAAAAGTTTAAACTACTGTATAGGTGGATTTTCATTATATTGGGTGATTTTTACAGCAGCCTGTATATGTTATTTGAGATCAACTTAAAATACACTAGTATTTTGTACTGTGCCCAAACCTTTGCTTTCAACTGCATATGCTGTATACAATCAGTGTGTAATGGTGAACTGTGGCACCGCCCAATTTCATGCCTGATTATCATTGCATGAAACTGTTACATCTTTCAGCTTCAGTGTGGTCTCTCAATTTGATTATGCTATGAGCTATGAGGGATTTCGCTTGTGGCTTGATGCTCGTGTCCACCCACCTTACCCCTCTCCTCCTGCTTGGCTGCTTGTCTGCATGGAGGATGCCAAATAGAAGATCCTGAAAAGACAGACAAAAAAAGTGTCATTTCCAACATTTAACATGATTCACATTGTTGCTAGCAATGTGACTCTAAAAACAATCAAACTCTATCAGTCAGCCCGTCAGTTCAGACATTAATACTCCTCACACACTGGATCATAATATTTAATGATATTCACAACAGCATCACTACATTGTGTTTCATGCTAATTATCAAATGTTAACATATTAACAGGAATGACTCAAATGGTCAATGTGAACATTACTGGCTAAACACCAACATTACTACTATTATTCTTGTCAGCACACCAACATTAGCACATATCTCAAGCTTATTTAGTTCATTTGGACATGTCTTAGTACCTATTTTTGTATCTGCCAGTGGTGCTTGTTAAATATGTTCTAGGTTGCTGTGTATTTGCTTGTTTGCAGCAAAAACAAAAAAAAAAAAAAAAAACAAAAAACCCTGATAATTCTACAATGTATCATGTAATGATACAGTGATAAAGTAACATTGTATATGGTTGATGCAAATGACATTGGTACAAGATGATGCTTAAAATCCAACATATTTCTTCTAAATGCAACTATCAAGACTCCAAAATACATGCATGACTCACTTCCTCATTTGTTGTCGTTATGTTGTCAGAAAGCTCCTAAATCAGTTGACCCCAACGTGACAACTAGCAGCTCAATAAGCGTTTAAATAAAATCTACCACCCCAGATACTACTCTGTGTTAGCACCACACAGCAGTAAATAATGTCTCAGTGGGAGTATCATTGTGACTCAAGCACAAGTGCACATGATTCATTCACCCAGCTGCCCACCCAGCTCATCAGGAACATGCAAGACCCATAATGCATTGGGTTTATACTGATATACTGATGTTGGTGAGTGAGCAGAACTAGAGATTGGAGACAGGTGTCAGGACACAGGGGAGATAAAGGGAACAGAGTGAACCAGAACAATTATGCCACTGCAAGATTATTAGCTTTGCTGCTTCTTATCATCTAAGAACAGATAGTACTGAATTAATGATTAGACTTGCAACAAAAGAGCTTCAACGTGCAGCATATAACAGTCATTGTAGTTTGGAAGATATCTGTAGTCTCCTAAAATGCTTTTACCTTGCAGATACATTTCTTCTCCCTCTGCAAACATCTGCTCACAGCGGGCACAGCGGGCACATGTGGGGTGGTAATGCTTCTCTCCAGCCTGTTGAGCAAGCAAAGAGAATGGGTTAGGCCAATGCAACATACTGTATATTATAGCCATCATACCATCCACTCCACCCACAAATTCTTAATTTCTGAAGCAACAATTTATAAGGAAATCCATTTATTTAAAATGCTGATGCAGCATGAACAGGCAACTCCAAGAATGTTGCTGAGCTAAGTGTAATTCAGAGTCCAATTAGTATTCCTCCATTAAAGTGCCGCTAGTTACAAATGACAACAAAAAAAATTGTATTTACTTCTTCGGCCACAAGGCGGAGCACTTGTGTTGAGTAAGGAGTGCCACTGTGGAATTCCAAGCACACTGTATAAATATGACCTCATCAACAGGAAAAAGGAAAACTGTTGTTTATCCTAACATCTTGTTTGGGGGGGATCATATTTTATTTCCAAAGGGTAAAGAGGAATCTACAAATATGGGAGTGGAGGTGGTCATGATCAGGATAGAGGCATCTGTGATAATGCATTGAGGTCACAGAGTGGATTGTTCATGGGCTTGTGAAACCACAGGGCCACTGAGATCTATGGGTTCTCAGGAGTCCACTTGGATCCAAGCATCCATGACCCAGTATGAGAGGTGTGGATCAATAACAGTGGCGTCACGGTTGGTGTTTTCTTTCCTCAATTGGGAACTGTTTCAGTCTAATTATCCTTGGATCTGTTGGGACATGGGCCGACTGTCTTTGGGTCCCTCTGGCTCAGGTGTCTTTGGTTTTGAACCTTTATTTAGTACGGTTACATTTTCTACAAGTCTGTTTCATATTATGTCGAAAATGCTGGACTCCAATCAACACTCTAGCCATCTGCTATTGAGTCCAACCATCAAAGCAGTTGGGTGGGTTCAGTGCTTTGCTCAAGGGCACCATAAAAGTAGTTGTTGCAGAGTTTTTGCTTTTCTTCACCAGATGTTCCAGGCTGGCTCAGAGACTGAAACTAACTTTGGCTTCAAACTTATTTTTCATCCCAAAACATTCCCATTTTAGTCAACTTTCCAATCTGTTAGGAAACCCAAAAACCACTCTACTTGCCCAGTGGTTAATGCCTTGTTTTGTGTTGTGGCATCAAAAGCTACCATTGGAACTAAGCTGAATTCTCACTCTGGGGGCAATATTTCATTTTTTATCATTTATGAACATGATAAACTAATTGACTCAAATAATTAAATAATTTTTCTCTCATCAGATGTCTACTGATCACCACCTCCCAGATGCATCCCATCTTGTTTCGACAGCAGGCCAATTACACACAATTGGACGTTGACACCCTATGCTTATGCAAGACCATGCTTACTGCCTATCTGAACCACATTAATAGCAAATGGAGGGGGCAAACACGCACATGTACTGACTATACTGACAAAACCTACCAGGCCCTGATATACTGAGGGAAAAAGAGGGTCAGGTACTTGAAAACTGGCAGTAAATTGTAAGCACCATGCCAAATGTTCATACTTGAACTAAACTGGGACAGATAAATAGACAGCAAAAGAAAAGTGGAAATTGACTTAGAAATATCAAGTCCTGGAGATAAAAGGCTGTAACTAGATTGAAATTCAAACATGGAAAGAATGAGAAGTCCGGAAAGGAGATAGCACTGCAACCAAATCCTTCCTTTGTCAGAATCCAAGTCTGCATGAGGGGAAAATTATCATACTCAGTGTCCTGCAGGACTGATAAGTCAAGGGAGAGGAGGAGTTGAGGATGGGTTGGAGAGGGAATGAACTTAAAAGAATGATGATGGGATGTTTTACTTGGGAATGGGGTTATAGCTGGTCAGCCAGGGTTGAGGTTTGTGGTTGAGACTCCTGCAGAGTTTAGGGTTTTTGAAATAACTGTGGTAAAAAGACCACAGCAACCAAGTGGTGAAATGCAGGTGAGGCAGAATTACAATGAGTAGCCATTTATCACAGGGTGAATGTTGTAGTCATAGATAATCTGGTGTAACTTCCACGGGGGACCAGGGCCATGATCCACCAAAAAAATTTAAATAAAATTGACCAGTCAAATGCCTCAAAGCAGATGTTCTCTGCTCAAAAGTGTTAAACTGACTCCAAAATGTACCGACTGTTCACTGAGCTCCTCCTGCTTCATGTTGGTTTGCATATCAACCAGCAACAGTGAACACATCAGCTGTGCACGGGACTCACAACTGGTTATCAATGTGCCACATTCTGCCCATCCTGCGCCCTGCTTCTGTCATGTAGACCTACAGCTGATCACTCACAGGTAAAAACAGTCTTTTTAATTCCCAGCATCACTTAAGTTCAATGTAAAGTCTGTTTCTGCTGCTGATCCTCACATCTGAGGTTTGTCTCCACGATCCCTCCTGGACATGACGCTCTAGTTTCTCAGCCTGGGTGATCAGAGTTTTGTTCTGTCACTTGTTTTTGTAAATTGAGTCTGTAGTCGACTCTTAACTGTGTCGCTGTGAACCAACCATCATGTGGTTGAACAAAAACAAACACTCACATGTGCCAATTGAGCATCCGAGTGTGCACTGTCAATGTTGTAAATCAATCAAATAAATTTTATTATCACAACTTTGCATTTTGCAGGACATACTTTAACCTCTAGAGTCCCTGCGTCCTCATATGAGGACCGCACATTTTGGGTTTCCTGCACCATATACTTTATTTCTCCTCAACTTAGACCTGTTGTCCTCGTGTGTAGACACTTTTACCACCATCTTGTGGTAGGAAAAGCACATTACATGTGTTACTATAATTCCAAGATGGCGTCGATCTCAGCCAAGATGTTCTACAGCCGAGCCCGAAATAAAAATGGACAAGGTACAAAACCTAAAAACATTTCATGGTTGAAACCTGCTAATTTATGCTTTTTAATGTCTGTAGTTTGAGATGGTATATAAATTTGACATCTTTTAGCAATA